GCTATTATGCCTCGGGCAAAACCGAATTTGACCTTTCTGTCCCACGGATTTTTTCCAGATTTTTTCAAAGGAGGGGCCCCGCCCGCGCGTATGCCGTATCCCGGTGTTTGTGCAATAAAATTCTTCTTTTGGAGCGGCCGCCCCGCGCCGCGAAGCTACTACCAGCCATTCAGCCAACCATGGGCATGGCCTACCGGATGAAGATGTTCAAGAGCCAGAAGCCCTCGTCATTTGACCTGTCTCCGACTTCAAGAGAATTCCCGGCTTCAACTATGTGCTGTCTGTGTCGACGGAGGACGAGCACACGTACAACTCGCTGGCTCAGGGCAAAAGTGAAAAGAGAAAACATTTGGCGATCGATGCCGAACTTCGCGCGCGCGCGCGGCAGCGCGCGAAGCGAAAATTCCAGCGGCGAGCAGTTCGTTCGGTGTGGCCTCTCGGGCCACATCACCGTGGTGCGTGGACCCGGGACGGCTCTCTCATAGCAGCCCATAACATGTTATGGGCGTTATGGGTGTTATGGGCCCGGGCCCATAACGGCCATAACACCCATAAACATGTTATGGGCTGCTATGCCCACCCACCCAGACAGAGAGAGAGAGAGAGCCATAACACCATAACAATAACTGTGTCAGGGGTCAATCATTGAACCTTCCTGGAGATGCCTGCGTCCCCGAAAAGCACTATTACCTCGACCCGGATGCGACTATCAACTATAGCCCCCCCCCCTCCCCTTGGGCCCTCATCCCCCCCCTCATCGCTCGTGATAATCTCGTCAATCACACAAGGCGTCACACTAGGGGTAAGGCGAGCGGCTGACTCCCTGTAGGGGGCGCCGAAGCTAACTGGGACTAGGTTCCGTTAGGATCTCGGGCAGAAGACAACGGGCGCGCTGCGATCCGCCCGATCCCAGGCCGACTCCGCCCAGGAGCTCCCAGGACGCCAGCCAAGCCGGCAGACGAAAGTCTGCAACCCGCCCCCAACACACAAACCGCACACACACATGCCCACGAGCCCCGACAGAGGTGACCACCCACCCCCAGGCAAGTAGTGCACTTGTCTAGCTCGCGTCGGAGAGAGCATACGGCGGGAGCCAGGGGACAGCACAATGCCCACTTCACAATGGTAGGCGATTCGACACTTCAAGGCGAACTCCCCCTCCTTCACTTCCAGGCCCCGCGCAACCTATATGGCAGGGCCTCCATCGTTAGGGCTCCTTTAACACGCGTCCAAGCGTGGGCGGGTCTAGCATGGGATGCCCGCGCGCACCAAGGGGGAGCCCTGCAGGTGCCATTGAAAAAAAGATTTTTTGCCGCACGTCGCCTTTAAAAAAGAACAGAGAGCGCTTGAATGCCGGCATTCAAGCGAGACAACGCTAGTCGGCTCCGCGACGCGGAGCGGTGCATGAAGGCCGGCGAGCCTCTCACGGTGCGCGAGGCGTCCTTCATCAGCTTGCTGATGGGACACACCGAGCGCACCGGCGCGGCCACCGTGCGCTTCACCATGCACGTCGACGGCAGTCTCGACGGGCAGATCGCCAAAACGCAAGTTTTTTCACTCACTCACACACTGCTTGTATTGGGGCGGCGGCCGAAACGGGGACCTCCAGTACGGTCCAGTAATGAAGTGATCCACTTGATCCAAGGGTGCCATTGTGCTCTACTACAAAAGTTGTGTAAGATGCCCAAGTCTCAGACACTGAATCCTCAGCGGAGCTGAGTTCTGACGGGGTGTGAACACGAGCAACCGGAGTGACGACCGGGACCGGGCCGCACGCCGGGAGTGCCCCGACTAGCAGTGACGGGCGCGGATGAGTGAATGAGAGGTCGCTATCTGTGGGAGATGTGTTATTAGAGACTAGGACTGCCTATCTCTCACTGAAAGGAACCTCTCGTTCGCTCGTCCGCACCCGTCACCGCTCACGGAGTGCTCCGCGTGCCGCACCGGCCGCCGCTGGCCGCCGGCCGCTTACGCGGTAACGGAACAGTGTTACTACTCCGCAAAGTTGAGCTGGATCAAACTGAATAGTGCTCCTGAAAGCCCTCTCTCTGGGCTCTGCCACACAGTAGCAGCTCACAACTAGCAGCTGCTGTGGCTGTATTTGTAGCCATTTTTAGGCTTCAACTGGTCCCAAAATAGTAGCAACACCTCATGAAAATCAGTCAAAAAAGTCCCAAAAAATCGGCGCCTGCGGCGGGCTTCCTGGGGCTCAGCCCCAGACCCCCGTGACTGGGGGGACCCCCCGCGAGAGCACCCCCGTCGCCCCCGGGGGCCCGTCGACTACCCAGGAGCCTCAGGCTCCTGCGATGGCCGAGCGAGGCTGCCGCCTGAGGGCTGCATGTCACTGCACCGACCGCGGCGGACGACGGCCGATGCGTGGGCGGGCGCCGTGGCAAGGTCGACGGGGATAAGCTGGTCATCGTCCAGGACCTCGAGGAGCCAGGAGGCAAGTGAGGACGTGCTGGCGGCGAGGACCAGCGAGTCAAGCGAGTCGAGGCGGGCGGAAGGGCTGAATTGCTGGACGCGCGCCTCGGAGCGAGCCACCTCGCCGGCCGTCAGCACGCTGGCGGTGCGAAGACGCTGGAGCAGATCGGTCGGGCTTGTGGTGTCGACCATTGAGGCGTGTCCGGGTTGTGCGGGCGCGGTGGCGCAAGACGCCAAGCCAGTCGGCACGGACGCCAAGCCGGCGAGGGGCAGATCGTAGGCGGCGGCAAGGGGTCGCGCGACAGAGGAGGCGGCGGCGGCGGCGGAGGTGGCAGCGGCGGCGGCGATGGCGGCGGAGTGAAGGGCAGCGGACCGGTGCTGCTGCAGCTCATCCCTTGGCGAGATTACCTGGGGGCTGAAGAACACGCCAGGAATCGCTTCGTGGAGGGGGATGCCGATGACGTGGGAGGGCTCGGTGGAGGTCAGGGAGGCCTGAGAAGTGATCCGCTGCCCTTGCGTCCAGAGGGAGGCGCTGGAGACCGGCTCGTCGAGGGTGCGCCCCGTCTCGGTCAGTGTGGCCGGCAGGGTGGGCGGTGTCATGTGCATCACGCCCGCCGTGAGC